GGCTGGACCGCAGAGGGAGGGGGTTCCTCTTCTATTTGGAGACACTGGCAAAGAGCAGACCAGAGAGGGAAATAGAAGACAGGAACAGTCTTTCCCAGCTTTTGATAATTCTGTACATTGTCTCCTACTCTTTTCCAAGATTCCAAGTCAATAGTTCCCGTAGCAGGAAACCAAGGATTACATTCTATAGTAATATCTAAAAAGGCCTTAATCTGAGTTTCTGTATATTTAATTCCTCTAGATTTTAGCATGTATTTAAGAACAGATTGGAAGTGAGACCAGTCTGGAGAGAGAGAATTACCCATATTTACAATTGCCCCTTACCTACGAACCAGCATGATGAGGGGATCCTATCAGCCAAAGGGGGGAGAATTGCTCTGTCCGCAGTGAAGCAGAGGTCCGAGAGTGTCGCTGTTTGGGCGCCAGTTGTAGGGACTCAGGTTTGCTTTGCTAAGTGGGGGACCTGCTGGCTTCGGGGCAGAGGGTCTAATCGGTGACAGAGTCAAACTCTGGAACCTGTGTCTTCTCAACAGGATGATTTATTTTAGAATTTAGATGGTTTTTATACATCCCAAGGAAATAGCAGTCACGTGGGTTATGACAGTCCCATACAAAGATATAGGGTACAAAGAAACAGGACATTTAGTCAGTTAGTTGGTGCCAGAAACATTCTTAAACTTTTACTCAAGGTTATCAATGCTCATCCAGTAATTTATTGTCCACAATGTTTTCTTTCTTAGAGCTAAAAGCATGGTGAACTTTTAGCTTTTAGCTCAGGAGTAAACCTTTAGCCTGGCCTAATCTCTTAGCCAGGGATAGCTGAGTTATTTGTTTCGGACAAGGAGATGAGCTAAGGGTTGTTGACCAAGATGTTTTCCCACAGAGCAGGGAGCCTGCACTTTTATGACGCCGCTTCCTTCTGCCAGCCCAACAGTGTTCTGCAAGACAGGGATTATCAGAGCCACTGTTTTCAGTGCCCTTCCCTTTTAGCAGAGAATGCAGCCTGGACCTATAAGTTTTAGGCTCACCTCACCCTAGGTCCTGGCATCCTGGTTTCCTACAAACCACTACTTTCCCCCTCAGGAAGCCACACAATCTTTTTCCCGGGAATGCTCTAGCGCCTGCCAGTAGTTGAGTAGGTCGTGGGGCATGACATGGTGGCAGGTCACGATTTTCTGAAAACGACACACGGAGAAACGTAAGCCACCTGGGAAGAAGGTCGGCTTGGAATGGAGCTCCTCCCACCTGATCTTCAGCTTGGCCAGGCAGAGTCCCACAAACACATCCTCTAGCTTGAGGAATGGGACACTTTCTGAGACCCTGTACACCTCTCTTGCCACGTCAGTGGACAAGACATAGCCAGTGCCTGAGCAGAAAGATGGGTCCTTGTCCCACGGATATTCAAATTTGCTTACAAACCACTTGCTCAATGTCGACCTAATGACAAAATTACTGTGCATTATGTAGCCTGTGAAGAATCTGGTTGTTTTGTTTTTCCTTAGCAGCAGCTCCGCCAGATAGCCAACATTGACAAACATGTCGGAGTCAGTTTTCATCACAAAAGTTGCCTGAGGACAAAGGTGGTGGACCCACTCCATGCCCATCATGGTCTTCAGGGTCAAGTTGAAATAGACGTCCTTATCAGAGCCTGCTCAGTGGTTAAGATCGAGTACTTCTCTTCCAGAGGACCGAGTTCAGTTTCTAGCACTCACATCAGGCAGCTCAAAACCACCTGTAACTCCAGCTCTAAGGAACCCTATGTCTCCTTGTGACCTCCACAGGCAATTGAATTTGTGTGCATTGTTCCCTACACAGACACAGATACATACACTTAATTTTAAAAATAAAATTAGAGGGTTTGGGGAGACGGCTGAGTAGTTAAGAATGTCTACAGTTCTTGGAGAAGACCCCGCCCAGTTCAGTTCCCAGTACCCATGTGAGATGGGTCACATCGACCTGGAAGCATAACTCCTGGCCTCCATGGGAACCTGCACATATGTGCACATACCCACAGACACATACACATACACATAATAATAAAAATAAATCTTTTATTATCTTTCTTTTATGTGTATGAGTATCCTGCCTGCATGTATTTAGTGCACCTGTTTCATGCAGTGACTATGGAGGTCAGAAGAAGGCATCAGATTCCCTTGGACCTTTTGTTAGAGATGGTTGTTAGCTGCCATGTGGGTGCTGGGAATCAAACCCGGGTCCTCTGGAAGAGCAGCCAGTGCTCTTAACCACTGAGCCATCTCTCCAGCCCCAGAATTTTAATCTCTGAACCCTGTAAAACTTTCATTTAAGCAAAGGCCCTGAATCCTGCAACCTGATGGCCTGGGGCAATGGAACACACCCTCCACCCACCCAGCCCAAACCCACCTTCCCACATCAGTTCTTTGAAACTAGCCAACTGGGAAAGCCTGGGAGGTCTTCAGACACAGTGCTCTTTCATTAGGAACAGAAGTCTGTCAAGCTTCTGGGTCCTGTGTTTGCAGGATCTGACTGACCAGGGAGCCCACCCATATGCAAAAGCAAAACCTGTCCTGCAGACCTACTTTTAGTTTGTCTGAATGTTCTTTATGTAGTGTTTGTGGGGTCCTTGGACTTCAAATTTTATTTCTAACCTTTGGAACATTTTCCTTGTCTAAAACGGAATTCCCAAGAAACAGTCTCCAGTTATACATCAGTATCCCCATGTACAAATCAGGTGTTTTCACCCTGAGAGAAGGACCAGGAACCCCCCTTCCCGCTGGTAGACTTGGAAAGAAACTAACACCATCAGGAGACACAGATTAGGACAGCATGTTCTGGGAAAGGGTGCATGAACCCCCAGACTGTGGTCCCCAGCAGCTGGCAGGTAGGAATCCTTAGCTCAGTACAACCCCACTTACCTGAAATGGAGCTGTCAGTGGGTAGAGCCAGGGTCACAGGAACCTCACCTCCAGGCCCTGTGGCATAGGGAGCCAGTCAGAAGCAGAGAGCAGGCTCCAGCAGACTGTGAGGTCCCATCGTTCCTCTGTAACCTCAGAGCAATACCGACCCAGTCATGGAGTTTCTGAGCTGGAATAGAAATGTACTGCAGGGACTTAGAGAACACAGGCTCTCCCCTCTACCCATTCCTCTGCCTCCTGTCCCTCACAGGCTCCAGAGTACAGCTGCTAGGATCCCTGGGCCTCCTCTGGTGATGAGAACCTGGAGTGCGGCCCACAGTCACCCACTCCAGAGTCACTGTCAGGGACCTTAGAAGACTATCAGTTTGAATCAAACAAGAATGTAGAACAGGGAACACCAGAAAATCCCACTGCCTGAAGAACTCTGAGGTTTGGCACAAGGAAGGGCATTTACCAAATGGACAGAATATGGACTTTTATATGCAAACAAGCTCACTGAATCATGTGTTCTTGTGTCCTTTGTACCTAACCTTGATCCCTTTAAACCCTGATTTGCCTCCCCCCAAGATGATTGTATATTTTTAACTTAAAAAATTTATTGAGAATTTCATACATACATATAAGATGTTTTGATCAAATCCATTCCCGTTCCCTCCCCTCCAAGTCCTCCCATAGCTCCCTGTCACTTTTCTCCTGCAACTTCAAATACTTCCCTTCCTTCCTTCCTTCCTTCCTTCCTTCCAACTTCCTAACTTCCTTCTTTCTTTCTTTGTTTTCCTTTTTTATTTTTAAAAAATTATATATATATTATATTTATTATTTTTAAATTTTTATGTGTATGAGTGTATTGCCTGCATCTGAGTACACCTCTGTAGTGCAATGCCAGGGATGTCAGAAGAGGGTGTTGCATTCCTCTGGCACTGGAGTTAAGGACGGTTCATACCTGCCATGTGGGTACTGGGAATCGAACCTGGGTCCTCTGCAAGACCAGTCAGTGCTCTTAAACACTGAGCCATCTCTAGCCCTCTTTCTTTTTTTTAATTGGGGCTTTTTGCTGCTCTAACATTCCCCCCTCTTAAGAGGTAACCCTAAAATCTTTTAGAGAGCAGATAAGAGCTCCCAAATACTTCTGACATTTTTGGCCTTTGGAACAGAGTATGTTGCTAAGACCCCAAGGACATTTTGACTTTTAGCCAAGAAACTGGCTACTTTCCTTTGGGGTCTTTTTACCCTTACTGCCTAGCCAATTCTTACCTCCTATTTTTATCACACCATCCTCTGAAGAGGTTACCCAAATTGCAGATGGAATCAGAACACAGACCACTCTGGCTTCTTCCATGCTGAACAGAGATGCACGGTCAGGCAATTGGGGTACCCATCCAGTGGGTCTATCTAAACGACTCCCAAATTGCATATCTCTTATCTATAGGAGGACAAGAAAGTCCTGGACTGGTGAATAGGAGATGTGAAGGAGAAGTAAAGGCAAGAGTAATTAACATTACAAGTTCTAGACAGGGAACCAGAAGAAAGAACAGGACAAATTTCAATGGTTCATATCAGAGTCCATTGGAATTTCTTGGTGAGAATTTCCAAAAGTAATCCTCTGTTGGGCTCCTCCTCATTTTTCTTATTCTTCCAAGGCTGGAGTCAAGAGTGATGGATTCAGGATTTGTTTTCAGTTTCTTTAATAGCTGTTGGAGTGGCTAGAATCTGTCAGTTCCCTCTCAAAGCCTTCTAGATAATGTGAGAAAACAAATTTAGTAATCATTTTAGAACAATAGCTGGTTGTCTCCCTTAGCTACAGGTGGGCACTACAGTAGGCAGCGAAGTAGGAGTTCTGTTCTTCTAAAGGCCAGTCCTCATCCATTGTGGGGTCCTCAAGGCCCTGTCTTGCCAAGGTGGCACAGAGAGGAAGTTGCTAGGGCATGGCCTGACTTGCTTTGAATGTCTGAAGGGTATTTCCGCACTGGTGGGGAGTGCATGATCATCGCGTGACCATCCTTAAGATATACTCTCGGGGGGGGAGGGGGATTTCTAAATGCCTTTATAAGCTCTGTAACACCTGCAATAAATGAGTTCCTGCTGGACTACACTCCCCGTTGCGTCTGCAAGTTCCCGGTGCTGGGGGTGGCAAGGGCTGGCAAACGGCATGCTTACTTATCCCCAGTTATCCTTGTGCAGGGGTCGCAGGGGCACCCTGCAACTGGCGCCCAGCGTGGCGCTCAAAGGAAGATGAAAAGGAGTCCAGGGTAAGCGAGACCTAAAGTATGGGTAAGTCAACTAATAAGCCTGAGGATCTGGCGCTTAAGGTGCTGAGGGATATGCTTAAAAGCAGGGGATTGGATCTGTCAGATCCGGCAGCTCAAAAGGTTTTGGCAGAGGCCGTTCATTTGGCTCCCTGGCTACTTGGGGCTAATGTTTTTACTGGAGATAGATGGGAACATGTGGAATGCCTAGCTCAACAAAGGGAGGTTCAATTGGGGATTGACCCACTGATGGAGTTCTACCCTACTATCTTGGCCTTAAAGGTATGCTTTCAGCCCGAGAGCCCTAAGCCCTCTGCACCACCTCCTGATGAGCTTTCAGAAACCCCGGCACAGGAATCATGGGAAAAATTTGAGGTAGAACGCAGAAATGCAACAGAAGTGAAACCAAAAGTGGTGAAAGTAACAAGTGGCACCTCAGGCGTGCCCTGGCCAACTTCAGGGCTTCCCGGGACCCATGAAAACCGTCCCCATTCTCAGGCAGATGGAGCTAAAGGGGAGGTGCGACCCCTGGTGGCGGCAGGGTTATCTGCCAACCTCATAGGACAAGATATTTTGTGGGATGCACAGGCCTGCATATCCACTGATAACAAGGCCTTTTATGATGACCTTTTGGACCTTGAAGAGCCTGGCCAACTTCAGGGCTTCCCGGGACCCATGAAAACCGTCCCCATTCTCAGGCAGATGGAGCTAAAGGGGAGGTGCGACCCCTGGTGGCGGCAGGGTTATCTGCCAACCTCATAGGACAAGATATTTTGTGGGATGCACAGGCCTGCATATCCACTGATAACAAGGCCTTTTATGATGACCTTTTGGACCTTGAAGAGCCTGATAGGCTTCCCAAGTCAGCAACTCAGGGGTTGTCTCGCCATATCAATTACAGGGGGGACCCAAAGAAAGAGCATTGGGTTCACCCCCAATTCTAAGGGCTACTGCCCGTCAGGTTCCGGCTATCCGGTGGTCCCCTGGGTCGCTGGTATGGGTGGAGCAGTGGCCATTGCCTGAGACAAAGCTACAGGCTTTAAAGGAAATTGTGCAGGAACAATTACGGTTGAGCCACATCCAGCCTTCTTTAAGTCCATGGAACACACCTGTCTTTGTTATTAAGAAAGCCTCTGGCAAATGGAGAATGCTGCAAGACTTGCATAAGGTCAATGCTAGAATGGCCCTAGTGGGTACACCCTTAAGGGGGCTGCCTTGGATCCCTGCTATTCCCTCAGATTTATTTCTTATAGTTATAGACATTAAAGATTTTTTTCTCTATCCCTTTACAACCCCAAGATTGTGAAAAATTCGCTTTCTCTGTACCTTCCACCAACTTTAAAACGCCTGATGAGAGGTATGAATGGACTGTTTTACCCCAAGGTATGGCCAATAGCCCAGCATTCTGCCAAACCTATGCGAAGACCCTTTTGGGGCCTGCTCACTTGTTGCCACATGTCACTGTGTACGTTTATATGGTTGATATAATCTTGGGAGCTCCAAGCCCCCAACAATTAGAAGAGTTATATAAGGTTTGGAATCCCAGTTTCAGAAGCATTGGGGACGATAGGAGCAGAGACCTGATGTACAGTAAGGTGGAAGGACCCCATTATGGGGCAGTGGAGAGGCCCAGATCCATTGCTAACCATGGGTTGAGGCTTTGCCTGTGTCTACCCTACAGGAGATTCAAACCCCATATAGGTGCCTGCAAAAAAGTGGGTCGGCTAGGATCCAACTGACTAGCATGACAGTCCATGGACAACAGTTCATGAGACAAAATTCTTCTCTTTATTTATATCCATCTGAGGTGAAGGACCCAGTTCCTTGGCTTCATTGCCAGTCAGCCTCTTTGACAACTGGCTGATTGGCTAAAAGGTACTGGATATTTCGGTGACAGAGGACCCTTGGAACTGCCACGGCCCACTTCCTCATGATTATGGATTCCCCCAGGAATATACCCCCTCCGGTTGTCCATGCTTGGCTAGCCGAGTTAGGCAGAGACTAAGACCATCATGGGCTGGCATTACCCATGCGGCTACCCTTAATCCTGATGTATTTTTAGCCAAGGATGTGGAAGATGTTGCATGACAAGCACTCCTAAGACAGGACATGCACATGGCCACGTGATGGTCCAATGACGGGCAAGGCTTGGTCAGAGGTGACACAACCTAAGACAGGCAAAAATGCATAAGATTCGAGAAAGGAGGTAGCCATCTCTCCTAAGGGAGCCATCTATGAGATGGGTAACCCGTGAAATAAAGTCTGTCCAGCCTTATAAAATAAAAATAAAAGGGGGAGATGTGGGACCTAAAGGCCCCGCCTTGCAGAGGTCTGAGAGGAAGTTACTGGGGCACGGCCTTACGTGTTTTGAAAGTCTGATGGATACTTCTGCACTGCTGAGGAGTACATGATCAGTGCGTGATCATCCTTAAGATACACCCTCAGCGGAGAGGGGGATTCCCACATGCCTTTATAAGCTCTGTAATGCCTGCAATTAATGAGTTCCTGCTTGACTAGACTCCTGTTGCGTCTGATTGTTCCCGGTGCTGGGGGCAGCAAGGGCTGGCGAATGGCGCGCTTACTCATCCCCAGTCATCCTTGTGTGGGGGTCACAGGCTCGAAGCCCCCACAGTCCATCCAAGACTGAGGAGATCTGCGCAAGGAGACCAGGTGTCCCAGGAGGTGCAGAGGAACCGTCATCCTTATTGGGGACGTCAGCTGTATGCTCCATTTGTTCAGCAGGTCAGACTCAGCAGTGTCATCTCAGGCTGATTCCTGTAGTCAAACCTGTGGAGAGCCACAGCCTCCGCCGCCATTACAAGATGGCGCCGGTATCCGGACCTTCTTAAAAGTAAACATCCTGCCGCACCCATAAGGGGCGTGCACAAGAGCCTGCTTTCCCCCGCCTCCTCCCGTGGCGTGATCTCCAGCAACCAATCCGCTTCTTATACGTCATAGATGGGACCTTTAGACTATATAAGCAACCGCTCTCCCGCTTCTCGGCATCTTCGGTCTTTAAGCTTCTAAGAGTGTAAGATGCGCATACAATAAACTGCTGCAGAAGGATCCTGACTTGTCCTCCCGCGTCGTTCTTGC